CCACCTTTTTTTCACGCACATAACCCTGCAACGGACATTCCCGGACTCAAAACTTTCTTCAGCTGGGTTTCTCGAGGCACGAACCTGTATGAGCACTCTTCCCACGAGACCCGGTTTTGTGAGCGCTTCCCCTGTTGCGTTGGATTATTTTACGGCTTATCAGTCTACATTGCTTTCTCGGGAGTACGAGCTCAAAGCAACTTGCTGCTCCGCTACTGCCTGCGTGACAGCGCTTGAGGTCCCGCGTCTGCCAGCATCCGGCCAAAACTGTTCTTTCGGTGTCTGGCTTCTCCTTCCAGCGCATCTACCCGTCACGCAGCACTACTGGCACGGGCGTTACGCTGCGCCTTTGCCACCGCCCTCCCAAGCATCCCCGCACCACCTTTTGCTGCGTGCAGGCAGGCTTTGCGCAGCCTCCTACTGGCGTCGCCGTGTCGCGCGCAGCATCACGGAGCAACTGCGGACATCTTCTCCAAGCCAATTGACACTCCCGCAGCAGCTCGTGCAGGAGGCACACCTGGCCCCTGATGCCATTGCCAGGGACGTGCGCGACAAGAAGCAGAGAATGGCAACGCAGCATCGTCACCTGACCTCGCCTCAAGCTCCGGCTTCTATGATGCCTATGTCTCTATGCGTGCGCTGCGAAACTTTGTCTCGCCTTGCACCCTTGAGGCTGCGGGTGAGCGTCTACCTGCTGCGCGCCCTCCAGGTCTGAGCCCGCGGATAAACTTCGTCTCCCCAGCAGCAGCCCCGCTACCTGCTTGAGGCCCTTGCCGGTGTGCTCACGAGAGGTCCACCGCAGGCAATATGGCACGGGGGCCATCGCCGGGGTGCGAAGACGTGTCTTGCAAGGAAGCAATTCACGCGCCTTGACATGGACTCGCGCTTGTGAGCGTGCCTGTTATCCGGAGTAGGATGAGGCGCGGGGCTCCTCGGATGGGAAACACTTTGGCAAGCGCCTCGCACCTACTTGATTTTCCTCTTCCACGTCTGCGCCGCATTGCATCGGTTATTGTTACATGTTGGTGAGACAGTCTGTTGCAGGCGCCGATTTCTAGAGCACGCGCTCCGGCACTTGGCTTCACACAGCAACCCTTTTACAGATGCGTTCGTCCAACGAGCAGCCGCTGTTTTAACGATGAATCAGGACACTCGCCCTCTAGGAAACTTGCCGCAAGCAAACAAAGACTGCGCGCGACTTGCGCGTGCGAATTCTTACCCCCGGTCTTTCGGGCAGCCCAGAGGCCAGGCCTGTTAAAATTGGACTCTCGGTCCAGGCGCCTGGAGATTCGTTGGCCAATACGAAGAAGGGTGGCGGGGGGGTGAGCTTTCACCGGGCTCGGCAAACGCCCGCCGAATGCTGTTAGGGCTTGAGAATTGCTGACGCTGGCGCCTCTTTGGAAAAACTGCTTGTGAGCGGTTGCTCCCCTTCATACATATTCGCACAGCTGGTTTTGCGGCACCCTACTTGCCCTTCTGCAGCGATTGGCTGGGTGGCCTGCGTCAATCGCTTGTGCCGAGGTGGGAAAACATTGCCTCTTCAGTTCGTTCCACCTTTCGAAATCTGCGCAGCAGGCGCAGGATCAGTGTGTCGCCGCCTGGCAGACATAGAGGCGAGCTAGTGCGCCGAGCACATATGGAAAGCGTTTGGGCATGCTAAAGGGGGGGCTGCGCGCGTATCTTGGGCAGGTGTTGCTAGAGCCAGAGATTGGCTGCCTAGCAACAACTTCCTTGTTTCCAAGTTTGACCAATATACTGCTTGTCTTGCTGCCGTTTGCCCGCGCATTGGTTTTGCGCACGCTTACAAACTGCTTGACTTCAACTTCGGCCCTTGGGCCAGTCATGGCGTCAACATCCTTTGGCACGAATTTGGCCACTTTCAGCGGGGGTCATTTCTGCGGAGTATGGCGCACCCGTCAAGCTGCTGAACCCGACCGCCCCGCAGCTGCCACGCCGGCTTTTCCTTCACATGTGTTTGATCGCACTTTCATTGGGGTTAGAGGCTGTTTGTGCGTTGAGGTCCATGGCCCGCGCGTGCCGTGAAAGACCGTGGAAAGACCAGCTTTCGCCCCCACAATAAGACAATGAAGTTTTGACTCGCGCTAGCCATTTTGGGCATAATTGCGCGAATGTCTGCTGACGATATAATATAACGCCGTACGTATCCCCTCGCGGCCGCCCTAGCATGCGCAAAGAAAGCCATCATGTGGGAGTATGTTGGATGCTTGCAAAGACGCATTCGTTTGTGGGAACAGCACGTGAATCCTGGGCAAGCCAATGTTGCAATCCCTGATAGAGATGGTGTCCAAGGCTGTATTGGCGCGGGGCTGTTAGCCCACAACAGAATCAAAGAGGCCTTGAACAAGTAATAGCAGTCCCTTGTGGCAGCTCGAAGCTCAAGGCACTGACCTGACAATTAAGCCGTGTGTTGGCCCGAATAGAAGGTCTCCCCAAAGAACGCAGGCAAGCTGACATTGCGAGCGCCTGGCTGCAAGGGGCTAGGGACGGGACAAATGAAAATCGGCCCAGAGTTGCAGATGCGCCCATAAAGAAAGTGGCCGTGTTGCGGCTCAGCGATCAAGAGACGTTCGTGATATCGTAGTGCGTCGTTGGCGACATATGATCCGGCCTGTCGTAAGAGGATAACAAGGCCCCGTTAAAAGGCAGTAGAAATCCGTAACTTGATCGTGGAAACCCATGAGTACTCGTGAAAATGCGGCGGGCCCGAAATTGCGGCCGAACTGTCAAATACGTGATCGTTCGGATTGCGAAAGGGGTACTTAGCCTGCGTGGCAAGGGTCGGACCCTTATCTCGTTTCCATTCATCACCCTATTGTTGTTTTTTAAGTACATTTTTGGCGTCTCACGTGCAAGCTGGGAGGGCGGCGTAAGGGGAACGCGTCGCGCGCCCAAATACAAAACAACAAACCGTTATTCATCGGTTACACAGGTCCAAACCCCCATAGAAGGTCGTCTAAAATGTGTGCAACATACTGGTATCGCTAAATTTAAAATATAATCTGGGGTTTAGGTACACCGCTCGCCCGTGATAGACCCAATTTGCAATGGCACCAGTGCTCGCAACATACAAAATACCGCTAAAATTTGGCATTCAAAAAAGCAGCCCACAAGCTTTAACCACAAATAGCATTACCAACAGCAGCGCCATAAAATCCCGTTCCAAAATGGCAACGAGAGAGAATTTAAACCCATATTTTTTCTTAAATTACCGATATAGCCATATATCGGAACAATAACCTATCTCACCAATTTCCACAATTTCCACAAAAATCAATCGAACACCTAATTACAACCTAACTTTACCAATAATACAAAAAATCAAAATAAATCAAAATCATAATATAACTTACTATAATATAATAACTATAACATAAATAACAAATTTCATCAATCATCATCTCCTACAATTCCATAACCATCTCCTTAAATTCTATATTAGAAAACATTAACCTAAAATATTTTTTTTTTAAAAAAACATTAAACTTTTATAGATTATGTAATTAAATAAATGCATTTTTAGTGGATATGTTTTTAATTATTATTATGGATTTAAATAATTACTATTTTTAAAAAATAATATAACTAATTAAATTAAATTGTATTCAATATTCAATAACCTATTAATTACAATTAAATAAAACCTATAAATTATTTTTCATATTTTCACAAATTCAAAATTATTTTATTCATCTTTTCAAATAAAATATATTCTTTAAATACTATAACAAAATCAAATAAATATTTATTAAAATCATAAAAATAAAAATTACACACTTTTACTTCATACCAATTAATTATAAACAAAAGACTCCAACTTATAAATTACACTCACACTCGCGCATTCTATACAAACACCTACTCCAACATATAATTATACAATCCTTAATTTCTTTAATCAAAAATATCAAATATCTAAATCAAACAAACCATGTTATATATATATATATCTTCTCTTATTAAGCAAAATTAATTTTTCGATTATATATAAAATCTATTTATTATATAAAAATACATAACACACAACTTAACCAATTATCCTATCAAAAAAAACAAATTGCAAATATCTAATTACAATCACCAAAATTACTACTCGTAGTACTACTACTACTACTACTACTACTACTTCTGCTACTCTTCAACTACCTCAAATTGCCTTTAGAACAATTATTAATAAATTCTATCTAACTTCGGCCCTATATCCTCGAAGTAAAAGAAATATAATTCAAAATCTTAAAACACAATGTAACAACAATCTATCTTTTGGTTTAGTCTTAGCTCTAAACATTGCCAACTCTCTCTTCCCCAAACGCCTCATTGTGCTAACACCGGACAATTCAACGCAACTACCCCACATACTATCTTTAAATTGAAAACAACCTGAACCCAACATTGAGTTCCAATTCTAAATACAATTCCGCTTCCTTATCTAAATTTGGCTACTTGAGTTAGAACTCTGCTTTTATTCTAGCCCTTAACACGCAAGAAACACACAACATACACCCATCATGCAGCTTTTCAACCAACTCACACATTTCGGCACTGACTCATTCATTCAAAACTAAGTGTATTTCTCTTACTTTACATTTCATGATAACGTACAAACAAGTTACAACACATGTTGTGTCTTCTTCCAGCATGTTCATAAGCAGCACTATGCTTTAGCATGGTCTTGTCCTTCTCTTTTTTCGTTCTTCCCTTTTGTCCTTTCGGCTCTTTCTCGTTCTCTGATTTTTTTCATCTCTCTATCTCTCTCAACCCCTTCCTCTTCCGATTTACTTTCTGTCGCTTTCTGTTCCAGGCTTGGATTGGCGGAGTCCATAACGGGGGGCGGGCCGGGCCCAAGCCCTTGAATACGCACACCTAACAAATGTCACCTGAGTGCTTCCAGCTGAATTAGCAACATCAAACACGTGTGTCATGAGGGAGCGATTAACGACAGCTTGCAGGCTGACCTTGGTCTTCGTTGATGAATAAATCACAGGCGCGGCTCCGCTGACACGTACAAGCCTCTTTTGCAGGGCAGCAATGTTTTCACAAATAACAGCTGCCAGAACTCAGTCTTTTGGGCACTGGTGCGTGGTGATCACAAAACGCTGTGGAAATGGCTCTGCAGCCAGCTATGCACCATCTTGCAGCTCTTGAGCTTCCTCAGCCTTTGCAGCCAGCATGCTTGCCAAACCTGCGTCCTGTCGGCAAGTGTCAACTCTGGGTCCGAACCAATGGCCTTATACATTTAGCGCAAACCAACCAAGGTCCTCCTGCTTCAGAGTCTGGATCCGAGAAACAAGAGATTGCGTCAAATAAGCAACTGCATCGGCATCCTCACACGCGAGCGGACAAATCCTCTCATGCAGGAACTGGGAAATTTAGCAATTGCGCCCTGCGCAAATATTAAGTACACAGTCTGTCCACTTTATGGGCACGCTACGCAAGCCCCAATTTCTGAGTCTACCACTAAGGCAGCGATCCAACATTCAAACAACTGCTTAACGCTCCCCATCATATTTTGCGTGCAAGGCTTGGTCTGCGCGAAACCAACCGATCAGGGAACATGACGAGCCAACCAAGCACTCAAACGTGTTTTGTTGTCTGGTATCAGAACTACCTTCCCACCGATATACTGTAATCACTGGTGGAAATAGGACATCAACCTAACAGGAGAACAAAACGCGCCCCAAGTCAACTGAAGACTGGCCTTGAACCATTCCTCTTCGTGCATGGCAACAAAGAGCTTCCCAATATCGGGAGGCTGAACCTGCACGTTGCACAGAGTCGCGGACTTTGATTCGACTTCCAGATAGCCACCATGCGTGTGCCACGCTTTGTGCCGGCCTTGTCAATGTGTGCAATCACGCCCTTTGCTACCTGGCAGTTGGACATTTGAACGCAAATTTGCACCCTTCTCGTCACACCTTGCCGGCATATTCCATTAAAAACCTGCTGGGTGGTCCGTTCGTAAAAAGAATAAACCAGTGTTTGAGACCAACCCTTGAATAAATCCAGGCGCTTGGTGGACAGCAAGCGAACTCTTTGCGAAGATATGGCCGCAAAACAATGCTATCCTGCCTTGATCTGGAGAGAAGCCTGCTGAATATTTGCCAAAGCCAATGCCCAGGCCTCGGGCACTGCAGTGCAACCTCTAGCAAAACCCTTACTTAGGGGAATAGAACTCATCATTGTGGAGTCATAGTAAAACTACGTTGCTGGTAGCGTTCTGCCGACTCTGCAGGTGAGTGTGATTGGAAGCTGTTGCGGCTCTCAATGTCCTAGTTGTGACGTGAGCATTCATCATGATTTGTAAATGCCAAGGAGAGACAAGCTGCAAGGCCGAACCAAGAGCGAGTGCCAAATCAAGGCGCGGTTGAGCTGTTAAAGCGGCCCCCACATGGGGGAAGTCCTTGATCTAGAAGTAAACAAAAACAAGCTACTTTTTTTTGGGAGGGACAATACTTTCAAGAAGGGCCCCTTATGGGAGGTGGGCTTTTGAAACATGGGGGCTTGGTAGTTGTTCTTATGCTTCTTTGACACTTGTTAACAAACAGCAAAACAAGTCAGACCCTCACTCGGCCAGCGTGGACACAGGGTTTGACTTCTTTGTTGTCCTGATTTATCGAAGTGTTCTTACACTTCTGCCAAAGAACGCAACACCTCCAGGAAACAACCAAGACAACATTTCAGACCCTATTTTGAAAATAACAAACAAATCTAACCGAACTCGAAATCGGACAAGATCCCGTGTTACATCCAAAAACAATTTGTCTTTCAACTTCTTGGGAATTCTGCTTAGCAGGGAAGCGCTAACGAAGATGTACGCTCAAGAAAATGAACTGAATTCAAATCGAAATCGAGTTTAAATGTAACGCCTTGCAATGTGAACCTTTCAAGCAAATTGTAACGACGCCACCTTTTTGTCAAAGGGTGTGCGCTGTTTTTGCTCACTCCTTTTCAGGAGCTTACTAATTAGAGGAAACAACAAGCTTCTCTTTCCTTACCAAAATCCTTTGTTGGAAAGGGAAACCACTGACAAGTTTAGGTCAACATGTTACTTTCCCTTGAAATCTGATCAAGGTCTGGTTCAAACTTAAAGCGTTGCGATCTAAAGCTTCTAAACAAATAGAACTGAAACTGCGTTGACTTTCTATTGGTTTGTCTCTCCTCGTACAGGGCAGGCAACTTAGAAGAAAGGGCAAGCATGTCTTTCCATACAGGATGCTACTTGGGTTGGACTCTAACTCAGTCGAAAATGGAAACCTGTTTGGAGAATTGCAGTTACTCTGGCAATAGACAAATCACTTTTGGATACTGGCCTTTTCTGCAACACCGTCTGATAGTGCACGCTTGCAACAAACAAGCAATTAAGCAATTAAATGGACATTGCCTGCCTAGGTCTTTTTCAACGTGCCTAAATGCGCACACATCTCACATTTTGGGGCTGAAGTTGTTGCAAGTCACGCCTTGCGCCAAACCACCTGCCCTTGCAGGGGCCCCCTCAACCCCCGGTTCTAACACGTTTCGAATCCTGTCGCCAAAAAGGCGTGAGAAGATCGCGGTAATTTTTGCATTGAAGCTTCTCAACTTTTTTTCAAAGGCATCAAAGCTTCTGAACGTTCAAATCCATGTCCATGCCCAGTCAAACTCAAAGTCCTAGTCCACAATGAAAGCTCTAATCAAGCCCATGCGGGTCCACGCCCGTGCGCCCAATTTCAAGCCCGCATCTTAACGGAAGGGATTCACGTGGAACTATGCGAAGCCACCAGAAAAAAGGAGAGAGACGGAGACAGAGACGAAGACACAGAAAGAGAGAAAAGGGGGGGGGGTTCCCAAGAATGTTGTATGCAGAATGAGTTGGCAACATTGCCAAAGAAGTGAAAACGCCTGCTTCAGTATCCCTCAGGGCCCCCTGCTTCAAGTGATCTCAAAACCGTACCAAAGGATGGTTTGCGTTGAAACTCCAATCTGCCTCAGTTTCAGGCACCGTCAGGCTGAGGCACAAAGGCGCTAAGGCTGGTGCGATGGATGCAACAGCATCCACGTGCTTCATGTCATCAGCCGGAAGGTCTAGGGCAGCGTAAGCCATCGCCTGCGCAACCAAATACGTATCTTTCTTAAACAACTTCACGTGCTTTCCCCCAGCCTGAAACGGGCGTCGAAGGCCTAGGGTTCCAATGATGTCCGCATTTGAGAGGCCAGGATCGCTTGCGTCACCATTCAGGAGCTCCTGGAGGTCAAATGTAAGAGCGCTTGGCCCTCTAGTGAGATCAACCATCGCCCCTACGCCGAGTAAAAGCCTCGGAGCGCTTCTGCGCTTTTCAACATCGGTCCCGCCCTAGCTTTCAAAACCGGCCCAGCGCCTAAAAAGTAAATGCCATCTCAGCAGGGCGGAAATGGATGACCGGCGCTTGTGGCGTAGAGTCTCCGCTGGCTCACACTAGCCCAACCACACTTGCGTTGCAAGTTTTATGATTGTCTGTTGAAGGTGGATGTTGCGCACTCGGGCAAAAACAAAGACCATCTTACACGTTTGCCTGCCCCCGCGCGGACCATCGGCTAAGATTCAACACCGCAGTTTGGGGGCTCCCTTTGGGGGATGGCTTCATTGTCGTGCGCCGGACCCTGAAACGAGAATCTTGATCCACCACACAACAGAACGCCGCATCCTTGTTGAGGATCATGGACATTGCCCCCGTTACCCGATCATCTGCTGCCCACATCTTTCGGGCTAATCTGGTCAGGCCCTGGACGGATCAAGCAAGTCTTACATGTCTTCTTCACCGCGACTGCACCAGGCCTCAAGAATGCCGCCCGTCTGCCGAACATCGAAGAAATCGGCATTCTCTGTGCAATATGCTCGCATCTGGAGTCAAGCTTGCAAATTGTTGCGGGCACAGCGGGGCAGCGTGATGTGGACACCGAATGAAACGCACAAGTGCGTAGTCTTAGGGACACACTGCAGCGAATGCTGTGAAGAAGATTGGGAACTTCCTGTCGAGTTTGCAACCGCAAATGCACTATGTGGCATCATCTTAGAGCAATGCTGTTTGAGCGGAGCACAAGTCCAGCAAGCTGTTGGCATGCAAACGCAGGCCCTTTCAGGTAGCGAATGTTTTGTTTGGTAGGATAGCGTGATCCAACAAGAACGCTCCATTTCACGCGCACTGTGTCCAAACATCTGAGGGCCCTGCTTTGCAGATCTAATGCCACGCGGTGGTTCTTGCTGAGGGTCTAAGCCGTTCCAGTTGAACATCTGGTCGGCCTCGAGGAAGTGGCTGGTCGCTTCAGACATACAACAGCCATGTTTGCTCGCGGTTCAATGCTTGGCTCAGCCAGGCACAGCTGGGGCAACAGAATCATAGCCACTCCATTCCAAGCCTTGCCAGCGGTTCAGCTGCTCTAGTCACTTCTCAAATCGCCTGGAACCTGTTAGGTGCGTCTCACTGCGCGTTCCACCACTCGTCACCACACGTGAGGTTTTGCAGCTCGAGTTGGGTGAGCGCAACTGGCCTTGCGAAACCTGTCTGGCACATGTGTGCCATCTGCCTTTCACCACCGCAAAATGGGAATTGCTTGGCGCGCAAAGATGCCAAGGTCTTCGCTTTCACCCAGCACTTTCCGAAGCTTCTTCAGCTTGAGCTCGTCAGAGTCCACTTCATCATCCGTCAGCAGCAAACTGATTGCCTCCGGGCATCTATTCCCTCGAAATTGCAACGCTCATCTGGTAATGGGGCAGACCAATTCTTGGCGCACAGGGCACTTGACAAACGCTTGCGTTGCTTCAAGAACTGTCCTACCGAGACATACTGGAAGTCCCTGGTGTTGGATTGTTGTTGTAGATGCACGTGGAGCAAATGCAGCAAGCTCTTTTCTACGGCCAGTGTAACGGGTACGCTCTATGTAGAAAAGAGTGCCTTTAGCCACAAATGTATGTATGTGTGGCACAAATGATTGCTGAAAGGTCAGTGGCCTACAAAACACAGACGCATTTTTTTGACCTTTGCATCGGATTCTGATCTCAAGGCTCTATGCATAGTTTATACACGGCGTAGCCATTGCGAAAAGATTTAGATCGCTTTCGAAAATGCAACATGGCCACTCTCTTTTGTGACCCGGACATGTTGGAATTGTCCGGTATCTACGGGGTTTGTACAAAATGAGCGCAACTGAGTTCTAATTCGCAGACGAGAAACGGCCGAGACGTGAAGTTGCTTTGGCTTCGGGCCCACTGACAAGAAGGACAACCCAACAGGCCCAAGATTGAGCCATCCAGAAAAGTTGGCCAGAACATGACCGACAGAAAGAGGCTCAAGGGCCAGACGATGCTGGCCGAGTCGTCTGTAAGCTTCGGTTTTGTGCGCCGTACATGGGTGTGGAGCAAGCTCATCCTCCAAGCACAAGCCAACTAGAGCTGGACGGTTCTCCTGAGCCTGAAGCAAAAGCATTCAGGAAGGCAAAGACCATGAGAAGCGACCTGTGATCCAAAACATGATCGAGAGCTTCAGGAAGAAGATTGACGAGCTGAGCCCAAGTCAATGTGCCCAGCTTGCTGAAGCACCTCACGCTAGCGTGTGGCCATGTCCTCGCAGTAAACTGCGTGCGGGCCTGCCAGAATGCCCTGGCTACAGCATCTAGATCACACGCCTGAACATGTTCAACTTCCACGTCCGGGTAGTGCAGCGCAAGTTAACCCGTCCATACTCTCAGGGGCATGGTGTCATCAAGGAACCACATGCAGCTTTGGGCGAACAGTAACAAATCAACATGCTCGGCCATCACTCTTGCCCATGCCGGCAACCGACACTCACTCTTGCTCATGCTCAAGGCCCCGGCACAATGACCACCGCCTGCACCCCCGGGAATGGCAACAACGCAGGACCCATGCAACGGTCCAGAGCACTGCGTCCTGGCATGATGATCGAAACACCACTGTAGCCGTTGCTTTTTGGCAGCATGCGTTGCTTCCATCTGCCTAGCGCGGCGTTGTTGTCCTCAGCGCGCTACCACAGCACTCAGGCTCACGCAAAGCACCTGAAAGGTAAGACCAGTGGCAGCCAAGATTACAATGGCGTGTGCTGCAGGTCTGCAGCTGGATCCACTTAACATCTGACACCGACACTGTTTCTAGGGCGTGCCTTGCCGTTGCTACTATTGCTCAATTCCAATCTCCATTCCAATTTGACTGGGCATGGATTGAGCAGCAACCCAATCACATCGTGTCCGCGGCATCAGCAATTAGCGACGTTTTGGAGGAAAACATTTGCCGCAGAATTGCGGCAGCAGCAGTGCCAAGACCTGGCGTCGCTTTTGCGCGGAGGAAAGGCCAGGCGAGGCATCCTTCAGCGACAGGGTCGCGCTTTTACAGGTGGGCAGAGGGATGAGCTCCGGGCAAGGGCGGCTCGGCTGCGCGCCTCGCCTCAGCGACAAGGTCACACTTTTACAGGCGGGCGCAGCCAAAGCTCCAAGGTCAACGCGCCAGGTTTCTCTGCTCCAAAATTTCTTTCTCAGCTTGCGCAAGATGTCTTTAAGCATGGATTGCTGCTATTCAACCTTTTGCAGGAACAGAAGGACGAGCTGGCCGAGCGGGAGGCCATCTTGGTGAGCCCGGCGAGGGCGAGCTCTTGGCGCGCCGACCGGCGGGGCAGCGGCAGCTGGAAAATTTTCTTGCAGTGCTCGCAAATCAAGCCGAGAGCTTGCAGATGCCTTCGCTCAAACTTTCGCTTGAGGCGCACGCAGCCAAGAACGAGGGAGCTTGGGCTTAGCTGTTGCAGGAGCAGAAGGACGAGCTGGCCGAGTCGCAGGCCTGAGCCGGGCGATCGCGAGAGCTTGCAGCGGCAATTGGCGAAGTTTCTTACCTTGCTCGAAAATCGAGCCAAGTGTGTCGAGAGCTTACAGAGTTTCGAGTGTTGCTTAAAGCTTTGATGCGGACAACTGTGCTTGGCCATTCGCAAAACTCACATTTCTGTCTGCGACCGGCTACTCAAGCCATTTTTCCGCCTTCCCGATCTTGCGCGCAATCCTGCTACAACAATACGCCGTTATTTTCGACGCTTTCCTGTCTCGATGAGGGCTCCGAACTAGCGATGGGTCCTTGTAAGGATGAAAGGCCACGATTGCAGAGAAGAGCACACCAGTTCGCTGATGTTCGAGGCGGAGACCAAGGCTTTGAGCATATTCCGGAACACGCGCGGACAAGAGAAACCCAGCTCTGCTACGTCCTGGTGAGACTCAATCAGTTGTGGCACACGGCGATCAACGTTGGGTCTTTGCGACATTCCCATAACATCAGTCCCGGGCGTCCGATCATCGGTCCTCTGGAGAGTTGAGCGAGCGAGAAGTTGTTTTCAGCACAAGTATGGCAGCAGCAAGAAAGCGATCCAACGTTCAAGCCAACCAGGACGGATCAGCCGAGTTGCATCAGTTGATCTGAAACAGTTCGTCGATCCATCTGGGAAGCAAGCCCAACCTTTTGCTGGCGACCTTGCGAACACGACACACTAAGCTAAGATATGAGCTTGCATCTGTTCCCGAAGTATGACACCTGTCAGCAACAACAGGACGCTGGCACGATGGTGCCTACGAGGTGGATCAGTTCAACGCCATCAGAAATATCCTGATCGGCTGTCAAGCCGGATGGAATTTCACGATCACATGGAAGTATATCAGGTGCATTGCGGGACCCTCGAGACACTTCGACATCGAAAGCCTATCAGAACACATGCGCCAACCAGCCCCATCATGCTGAAAATCAGCGGAAGAAAGGCCTAAGTCGGTCCCCCACACTTCGAGGCACTGCGCCTCCCATCAAGTAACGGTGCTGTCCTGTGAGATAGGCCGCCAACATGTCCACATGGAGCGCGTTGATGACTTCATGATTTTGAACAAGTCAGGCTCAGGAGCTCTCCAGCACATCCTGGACGGCAGGAAAATTGAACATCAGTGTGCCAAAACGAAGAGCGAGCGCCAGACGCCTAGAGGCGCGCTTGATCGCATTTTAGGTGGCCACAGGCTGACAGGCATTTGGGCACGCAAAAACGATTTGGCAGTGAAAATCCGACAAAGGCCAAGTGGCCGTGAAACAGCGCGAAAAAGCCGTTGAAACAAACACAAAGTGGGCGTGAAAACATGAAAACGTGAGAACGCCGTGAAAACGGGCAATGGGCAGGACAACAAATTCGAGGCCGAGAGAGTGGTATTTTCATGAACGAAAGAAATGTCGGAACGTGGGTGCAAGGTCAACAAGCAGCATCCACTGATACCCTAATATTTCACTCCACCTGAGTGTGTATCAAAGCTGCCAGCATCAAGATCCCTATCAAGTCGGAGGAAGATTCGGACAGATACTATAAGCAGACACAACAACATCTTATGTGGGAAGAATTCTGCGAGTACCAGAACTATGCAGCTACGATTCGTCTCGGAAGAGAAAGGCGTATACCAAGGCTGCCCCGATCCTGCAGCTTGGACGAGACCTACTTTCTGGACCCGGGCACTGGGTGGTTAGCAAGCACCAGAATAGAAACTCGAGAGCCCAGGTGGAGACGCTCCTGCGCCAGCGCATGAGAGGCCTTAAGAGCGTGAGCTTCCAGCTGCCTTGCGAGAGGATGCGCTGCCAAGCGCCTTTAAGGACAAGCCCCTCTGCGTGTTCCGGCAGCTGGCCGAGCTGCTGGAGGTGCGGGAGTTCTGCGTGTGGCGCAACGCCCCGATGCGCGTGCTGAGCTCGCAGGGCGACCTCATGGACAGCTACAACCCGGTGCTCCGCACCGTGTGTTTTTTGGTCTTCGACGGGCACTGCTACATGTACAAGGTATCCTCATCGAGTCCTGCAGACCGCAAAGACGAAGAAGATCCGGACAAGCGGCGGCACGTCGAGAACGCAGACACCCACTGCTCGCCTCAACGTCCTAACAGTGAATCTTAGCAATACGTCTAAGATACCAAGGGAAGCAAGGAGCCCTGAAAGATTCAGTCCTGTTGGGCATGCCCCGGTAAAATTCAGCTCATGTCCTTGTGTACAAGAAGCAGATGAAATTTTGAACCCGTCGCGCAGAGCGCCTTGTTTGACCGGATACAGTCAGAGCCCGAAGATACGACATCGCCGATCAACAGATCCAAGTCTGGTGCGCAAATTTTCGCAAAACAGTCACGAATAACAGGCTACAAAGGCGCCGTTCAGGGACGTCATTGTCAGTACATTCGGAAATGATCGAGAGCGGGAGTTGCCCAGAAAGACTCCTGGTGTTACATGCATCCAGAGTTCCCACGGTAGTGATAACCTGCACGTCCAGTGCAACAACAAGGCCAATCGCAAACATGACAAGGTTCGTGAATCATGGTCCACAGCTTTCGGCGGCCCAGATTGCGAGGGAAGGAATCGCTTAAGTATTCAGTGGGACGGCAGACAAACCCGCTCAACCACATCAAGATCAGAGCATGCGGCGTCCAAGAGGCCCATCCTTGAAGCATCGCTGAACCACGGATCCAAGAGCACGCATGGGACTGAGGCCTGCTACAGCGTCGTAACCCTCCATTGGGCCAAGAGCCTACAAATGGCAGAACACAGAAACGAACCACTAAATTCAGAACCGACCACTGTGTGTCCAGATTACATTTGCTCAACAATGATACACTTCTTTTGGGGAAGAACGCCGGCAACTGGCGCCACCGGCTGTTGGTGAGCATTGATTCTATGTCCGAGAACCAAACCATCTCCGAAGAGCAGATCCAGCGCAAACGGCAGCGTGATCAAGAGAGAGGGTAAACATCACGCTGGTCATATGGTCGTCCGCCATCATAATGGCATTTCATTCCAGGATTCTGCTTAATTACGCAAGATAGACCTGGAGGAGACCCATTTCTATTGAACATCATGTTCTGATGCGTTTCTTGTTCGCTCCGGATGTGCCGGAATTTCTCACCATGATTCTAGGAGTAGTCAATTTCTATCAGGCTTCATCCGTGCACATGTCTTTGTGTCAATCCAACCAATATGTGAGTGTTGGATGTAGCGCGTGTGTCCATAAAACACGTCGGAACATTTCGACGCTTCAAATGGCTACGGAACCCGATCTCCCAGTGCGCTAACACTGCGCGTCACGCATGTCCAGGCTTCCGGGCCGAGTGATAAAATCGGTCCATGGCAGTCTTGCTTAGTGGAATTAGTAAGCAATGGGTGTGTTTGCTCTGTGCTTGATTCCAACAGATCCACTCATGTGTGATTCCCGCTGGCCACATTTGGCTCAAGCCTGGCGCACTGCGCACACATGCGTCAGACAAATTTGTTTTCAGTAGAAACCAAACACTTGTATTTACTTACTTTGGCCTTCCACTTCAATATTATACACTTGGCACCTCACCGGAAAAGATCCATAGACCTACGAGGCCCATACTCAGGGCCCATGTTTTGGCCCATTTCCATGCAGACCGTGCTCAGGCAAATTTCCAACACTCAGTATACACACGTGTGCGCGTGTCCACATATCGCCCGCTGATCATGAATGATTTCCAACCTGCAGTGCGCTGATCGCCGCTGCCAAGGCAAGAGCTCGTCCCGCCTGCATGGGCGACATCTTGGCAGAGCTGACTTCTACGATGATGTCATCGAGATTCCTCGAGCATGCGTTGCCACAGTCAGAAGCGCTGATGGAGGTGCCTGTTGAGCCGGCCGTGGATGCACCAATTTCATGCCCCCCCAGGAGCCGGAACGTTCAAGGCAAACTACAAGGTTGAGAGCGTGGCAGGAAGAGCTTTGAGCGTTGGACACGGCGGCTTGAAGTGACGCTTGCCAGATGGTCCAACGCATTCCCTCCTCCAACCCTCTAGCTTGGAAACAGGCTGCAGGGGTGGTCGAAGCCGTTCGCTAAAACATTCGCAAATTGCGAAACGCAGCTCAGGCTCAGTGTCTGTTGGGTATCTGCCTCGTCCACCACCGCCTTGAGAACCAATGACTGCCACCCACTATTGGACTTCCAGTCATGCGCTGCTTTCACAAGCAAATGCAAACAACACACGTGTGCGCAAACATCTAAGCAGCCGGCAAAGCCTCTCGCGTCGGCCTGAGGACACCGCTTCTCGGTGTTGCGCATTGCTGTCACTGGGTCCATGTTTTTGATGATCTGGCCATTCTTGCAGCAATTGGCCTTAGCAACTTGGCTTCGGCCGGATTTGTTTAAGCTGCGCAGCACTGCTTTGAAAGCTTCAACTCCATGGTTCCCTTCTGTTACTTTGTCTTGATTCAGCATCAACATCAACGCCACGCAGGCTGCTTTCTTCTTGGCGCACGTTTCCCCCAGAAATGGTAGCGCTACGTCTTGGCCACCTGTCCGCGTCACACACAAGCACTCACACACACACAACGCGCAAGCACTCATACGCAAACAGAGACACAAACACAAACGCAACACAAACACAACAAACACAACAAACACAACAAACACAAACGCAAACACACACACACACACACTCACGCACGAACACACACACACACAGGCACACAGATACAAACAGAGACGCGCACACACGCACAACACACACACACACAAACACCCACCCACAAACACACCCGCGCGCAAACAGAAACACAAACACACTCAGACACACACACACACACTCGCACGCAAACAGAAACACAAACACACTACCACTAACACAAACGCACACAATCAAACACTCACACACACACAAACACAACCGCAAAAACAAGCACAAACGCAATCACACATGCAAACACAAACGCCGCACAATCAAAACACAAGCGCGAACGCAAACACACGAGCAAGCGCACAAACACAAACACACATATCACACACACACACACACACGCACGCGCAAACACACACACACACACACACTCGCACACAAACACACACACAAAACACATGCACACACACACACTCACACACTCACACACACAAACACAAACACAAACACAGAACAAGCAGAAGCACAATCACACACTCACAAGCACACAAAACACAAACACACACGCGCTCGCACAAACACACACACACACAGACACACACGCACGCGCACACACACAAACATTCTCTCACACACAATCACGCTCACACAGACAGACACATAGCTTCTAGTTTTTGTTGGTTTCTGCTGCCAGCCTCCTGGCTGACTCCTGAACTAACGCCAAAACCTAACCTGCAAAGCGTGACGTCTTGTCCCAAACCTGCGTAATCCTACTCGCTCGGCCCCAAAGCTCAAACTGACAAACCCCAAACCAGTCAAGCCCAAAGTATGAACTGTTGGCCGTAAACCAATATCTAAGCCCTAAATTGCTGACCAGAAGCCAAAACCCAAACCAAAAACTATTGGCCCCCAACCAATTTTTTGGCCCCCCACCAATTCCGCAGCACCCTAAAGTGTTTGCCCTAAACCAAAGCCTGAAAGCTAAATCCAAACCAACACCTAAGCCCTAAGCTGTTGGTCCGAAACCAAAACTTGAACCTAAATCCAAACTGCTGACCCGAATGCGAAGCCTGAAGCCTAAACTGTTGACCCGCAACCAAAAACCCTCAACTGTCGCCAGCCGGTTTCAGAGCAGAAGACAGGCAGTTTTGTTTTGTGAGGGTTGCCCAACGGGAAGGCTGTGGTGAACACGCGTGATGTACATTTGTTGTCAGTTCAGAATGTGATACAACGTTCGGTTTTGTCAATCACACAAAGTCCCTGCGCTGGCATACGTAAATTTAAACCTCAGACTTTGCTTTTCCGGAAGACGCCCTCGAAATCGCCAGACCCCCCGCCTTTTTGCTGGCTTGTCGCGCAGCGCTTCGTTGGAGCCTCTCGGCAAGAACATGACCCACGCCCCCGGCCACCAGGTTAAAACCTGAAAGAGGCCATGAATCCGAACGCAGGCTGCGCGACTGCAAGGGCATCCGTAATGACACCCCGACAGCAATCCAAACACATTCCTCAAAAGCATTCCTCGGCACATAGCCACAAAAAGAACTGCCAAAGACATCCCAAGCACGCCGCCCCAAGCAACCGCAGAAAGACATCTCTAAAGACCGCAAAATCCCTTCAAACACGTCCCTTGAACACAGCCTTTCAAGACCCCTTTTGAAGACACCCCTGAAGTACATCCCCCAGACACCCCCCCAATACCCGCAAAGACACCTGCAATACACTCCCGAAGATTTCCCAAAGACATCGGCCAGACACCCCGAAACATTCCCAAAGTCCTCTGCCCCGCAACGACAGCCAGGACAAACGCAAAACATTTTCGAGGACACCCCCCAAAACACATCCCCAAAAACATAGCCCAGGACAAAGCGAAACCCCCCCCCCCGCAACCTCAAAGCCCAGGACAAGCCTGGAGACAACCCCCAATCAAGAGCCTCGGAGAACACACAGCCCCGCAGACGCCCCCAAAGAAATTTTGAAGGGCATCCCTAGAGCAAAAGACAGCCTCCAAGGACAACCGCACAGGCAACCACAGAGACCGCGAGTCGCATCCCCCAAAGACACTCGGAGGACATCCCCGCAAAAACATGATCCAGGACAGCAACAAAGACATCCAAAGACGCACATCCACGCGACGCACACACAGGCGCAACGAATTCTGCGCCTTAAGATTTGGTAGTCGCGATTTACGGGAATTCCGGATTCTGGCCACCTTTTTTTGACCCCCAGACCCCGCCCTCCAACGGGAACCCTCCGGCTACGCATTCGGGAAAATGCGCACCGGAGAAAGGATGCTGATGCGCTGAATGCAAGTCTTGCTGCCGCGCGCAAGTTTGCAGTATTGTTGCAAGCAAGAGGACACCTCCTGCTGTGAAGGGACATGGCATTGCATCAGCACATTAGCACATGTGGTTGACGCCCCGTTGAGCCCATTTCAAGGGGAAACCAAAATGAAACAACAAATGTGTCCCCAGTCTTAACGAAGCATATTACCGATGAGCATCAACAAGAGCAAGGCCCACTCAGCCACTCAGTCTTAAACACTGGAAGTTGCCCCACTTACAACTGAACGCATAGCGCCTGCTGCGCATGATTATTGCTGCGCAAAACTCGCGCAACCATTGACCACGCTACTGCAATCCAGTAAGACCATCCGTCCGAGCATGACAATCAATTAACGCAAGCAAGAAACGCATCCATCTTGCAACATGGCACTTGTTTTTTTGGCGACAGCACAAAGCTACACCCGCGCAGTCAAGCTCAAGGGCAGAAATTGACGCATGGTTGCAGTCGCCTGCTAGGGGGTTGCAGCGTCTGTGTGGAATTGGACTAGAACCAAGGGTCTCCCAACTAAATAGCTTGTCTGTGAGGTCCTTTATACGTTCTAACGACCAAACTAGGAGTAGACCCTTTAACTCTCGTCCTTGTTGTACTTGAGTGTCCAGTATAATGTTATAATATTCGAAAGAAATACCTGTGAACCATTCGAATTGAATCAGAGTAGTCAATAATTGACTTCTGCTTTAAGATAGAAATCCGGATACCTAAGAGAGGATAGAACCCCCCCCCTACCCCCCGCCCGACGTCTGATATGTAGGGTTTAGGGGGGGTCCCCCACGTACCGCGCAGTAATTTGACGACGTTCCACTCAACGTGCCGGTGTCGCAAAACAGGGGTCCAAGACTCGAATCCTCCTGCCAGCTCTTTGCTGGTTTGGGTTTCCTGCCTCCTTTTGCCGAAAATCTGGAAAAACTCTGTGTTTTTTGACGTCCTCTTTGCGGCAACGCTGGAAAAACAGTGGTTTTTTGCGGGAAATATTGGGGAGCAAAGGGGAAATGCAGGGAAGTGCAAGGAAATGAGGGGAGGAAATAGGAAGTCGACATGACAGGAAAGCAAGCGGACATGAAAGGGACACATGAAAACAAGGGGAGTGCAGGGGAGTGAAATGGAAACAAAGGACAAGGAAACCAATCGGCGCGACGGGAGATGTAAGGAAATGACTGGCAACGAAAGAACGGGACATATATGGAAAATGCAGCGGACATACCGAGAAAATGGCAGAGACATCAAGCGGGAGCTGAAAGGAATGGAGGGGACATGACCAGGACATCATGAGAAACATGAAAAGGACATGAAGGGGAAATCAGGGGGAAAGCCAGTCTCAAGAAAAAAAGGCGCTGCAATGCAAAGAAAGAGAGATAGAGAGAGAGAGACAGAGAGAGAGAAAGAGAAAGAGAAAGAGAAAGAGAAAGAGAGAGAGAGAGAGAGAGAGCGGGAGGGAGAGAGAGCGAGAGAGAGAGAGAGAGAGACAGAAAGAGAAAGAGAGAGAGAGAGAGAGACACAGAAAGAGACAGAGAATAGAGAGAAAGACAGGGAGAGAGCGGGAGAGAAAGAGAGAGGGAGGGAGAGAGAGAGAGAGAGAGAGAGAGAGAGAGAGAGAGAGAGAGAGGGGGAGAGAGAAAGAGAGAAAGAGAGAAAGAGAGAAAGAGAGAAAGAGACACAGAAAGAGAGACACAGAAAGACAGAGAGAGAGAGAGAGAAGAGAGAGAGAGAGAGAGAAAGACAGAGAGAAAGAGCGAGAAAGAGAGAGGTTAGAAGAAGGGCAGCGTGGACAGGAAGGAAACAGGGAAACAGAAAGAGACAAAGAAACAGGGAGAGAGAGAGAGAGAGAGAGCGATAAAGAGAGGGAAGGAGACAAGAGAGAGGAGAGGACAAGGCGGACTGAGCCGGAGGCTCTAAACTTATGACTGAAGTATGCCCTTATTTTGAAACTCTATCCGCTTTCAGACAGAAGTTGCATACAACCTAACAAATCTATAACCTGCAAAGAACTTGCTTTGTCACGCCTTTTGTATTTTCATACTAGGACCACCTTGGCTAGGACTAGACCAAGGGTCTCTCAACTAGGACTAGGACCAAACTAGGACTAGACTAGTTAACTCTAATTCTTTCAGCATGTGAACCTCAAGCAGAAAATTTATTAGAAAGCAAAAAAATTGGGTTGGGGATAGCAAAATCTTGAGTTCCAATTTAAGATAGAAATTTTGACTGGAGCGCGTCGTTGATTGATTTTTTTTGAATTTCAGCTGGAAGCTACGTAGCACTTGATAGTCGTATGAAGTACAACTACGAAGGAAAGAACCCAGAGGTCCCAAAAATTGTTGAATAATGTTAGACAGTTCTGCCGGAAAGGGCATCTTGTGTAACACTTAAGCTGAAGTATAATCATCATTTTAAAGGTCTACTTTAGAAATCGGAATTTTTATTGGCAACTTTCATTAGGGAAGAGTTCAGAAGTCTCAGAATCGAGGTCTGGTGTTGGGGGGTGGGGTTGGAGCCCCCACTTTTCTGCAGAACACGGGGGGCGAACCCCGCTTTCATTAGCGGGCGGGCCGCCCCCAGCTTCATAAAACATGCTGAATTTAAAAAATTGGGGGAGCCAACCTCGGTCCGATGTAGCACTGGGCCGCCGTTTAATAAAAGAACATGGGGGGTCCAACCTCACCATGAAAAAACGAAAGCGGCAGCCTCGTGAAGAAAAAAGATTCTTCGCAGATGGCACGCCCAAGGCTGGATGGATTTGTGGCCTGGGCCCTCAAACTGCAAAGAAGTATTTGTAGTTCTATACTTGGCCTGTTTTCCTAGTGCACGACGAAAGCGCTTCTATGCCATTTGAGGGTCGAGAGGAAACCGGACAGTCCGTTTTGCGGCTTTGTGGGCTGCGAACCCCACCACTTGAGAAAATGTGGTCTTCGAAAAGGGGGTCAACCAATCCAGACGAAGAAATTCAGAAAATTGGGGGGGGCCAACCTAGAACCCTTCCTAACCAGACCCATTTTCTAGAAAATGCGGAGCGCCAGCCCCACCATGGGAGGTAACATCCTTGGAAAAAAACAAACCCAAACTAAACTCACCCCCTTCCCCCATTTTCTGAATTCATGCCGAACCCGGGTTCCCCACATTGTTTTGAATAGTCCTCGCAACACCATTGTCAAAAAACACCGCGAACACAGTTTTTGTAGGATTTTCATGAACGACCGTGCTCCCATTTCAATTTGGTTTTGGATTTACTTGTTCAGAACCTGCCGGAATTTATGTAAAATCTAGATTTAGAATTCCTTTCCAAAACGAGCTTTGCAAGTCAACTGGAGTATAAACGGAACTTGATCAGGAAAGAAGCCAAGCCTGTGCTTCAGACTCAAGGTTCAAGGTTCCCTAGAATAGTCGTCTCTGCAAGCTCGAGCCCAGGTCCCGACTGAAACCGACTGAAAGCCGCGACCGAACCTGGCAATGGCTGATCTGCTCAAACTGCTTCTCCAATTCTTGGACTCTCAGATTCTCGAGTTCCCGAATTCTCGGATTCACAGACTCTCGAATAATGTTCTTCTCGGACTCTGGTGCTTGGCTTCTCGCTTTCTCGGGCCCTCGCGTTCTCAAATTCGAGTTCTCGGGCTCTCAAGTTGTCGGATTCTCAGATTATCGGATTCTCGAGTTCTCGGAATCTCGCAGCGCTGATGGGCGTGGGCTGGTGCGCTTGAAATTTAGCAGGCATGTGTGCAGTCAGCACGCGCTGCAGCAGCTGTTCTTGCTGCAGGCGTGCAGCGCGGAACGGGAGCGGGTGTTCCCGAGTGTGCAGTTCCAAGCGGGAGCGCTTGAGCCGGGTGCTCTTGCCGTTTGACAGGCGTGTGTGTGCTCCCCAGGGCAACAAGCTATTGGGAAACTAAACCTCTAACAAAGAGGGGAAAGTAATTTGCGAGATTGATGGCTGGGTGCTTGGGGGCGTGCAGTTGTGGTGCGCGTGGCTGCAAGAATGATGGCAGGGTGCCAGCGCATGCAGTTTGGGCGCTGGCGCTGGCGCTGTTTTTGGGCTCTTGTTA